AGTTGTATAAACTGGTACAAACACTGTGGAAATCAATATGGAAATTCTTCAAAAAACCCAAACAAGAGGTTCCATTTGACCTAGCTGTTCTTCTCCTGGGTATCTTCCAGAAAGAGTTAATAGTCATACCCCAGTGATACATGGATACCCATGTTTATAACAGCACAATTTATAATAGCTAAATCTTGGAGCCCACATGCCTATCCAAGATGCATGGATAAAGAGCATGTGGTATTTGTATATAATGGAGTACTACTCTGCCATAAAGAAGGATAAACTTTAGCCATTTGTAGAAAAATGGATGCATCTTGAGGCCATAATCTTAATTGAAATAAATCACGCATACAAGTTTAAATGTTCCATTGTTTCTCTTGTGTGAGAACCTGAAAGGATAAATCAGGAGCAAAATAAAGGACAGATATTGGGGAATAGGAAGAACATATTCGAATGGGAAGGGAAACATGGGAGGGGGCAGGACAATACGAAGGAAAAGAAAAGGAAAAAAGAAAGAATAGAAAGAAAAATGGAATCAAAGCTTCTGTAAATTGATGAGGAGAAGAAGGATTGAAAGGAGAGGAGGGAGATGGGGAAAAAAGAATCACGATATGTATATGTACGAATTTCCTGTAATAAATATGATCAGTATGACAGGTATGTAAAAATAAAGTTAAAATAAAATGACCATTTGTTACTCAGGCTCTCTCCCCCAGTTCTTTCATGTTTTCTTTACAGTAAACCGAGATCCCAAAGGAACTAGTTAATTTGCATTATATTTTCCTCAAAATTCAGGATCTTAGTAGGCTGTACCTCCCTTCAGGATTTTAGTAGGGAGTGGATGCATTCCATGGTGATGGTTTGTATTTAATGGTTTGATTTTGGTGTGTGACAGCAGTAACTGATTCATACCTCATCATTTCACTGACACTGCTTTCTGTTTTATACATACGCAATCCTGGGTGTTCTGTTTTTGGACCTCTGTTAGTCACCTTTCTGTTGCTGGACACCACACCCAAGAACTGTAATTTAGAGGAGAAAGGATTTATTTGGACTCCTGGTTTCAGTCAGTAGTCTGTTGGCTCCAAGGCAGAAACATCAAGGAAGATGAGTTTGGCTGAGGAGAGGTGTTCACCTCATGGCAGCCAGGAAGGGGGAGTGAGCAGGAAGAGACCAAGAAAAGACACACCCTGAAAAGGCAAATCCCAGTGGCCTACTTCTTACAGCCCAGCCCCGCCTCTTAACAACCCATTCAGCTGGGACCTTGTCTCCGCAATAAGCCGCTAATGGCCTTGGTCCCGGTATGACCCAGTACCTTTCTAGTCCTCACCTCTGAATATTGCTGCACTGGGGATCAAGCCCTCAACATGAGTTTTGAGGCCACACTTAATATCTAAACCATAGCAAGACCCAATATCAGTTTTATTTTTGTAAGGGTCAGAAGTATAAATAAAAAATGTCTAATGATCATCAACTTATTAAAGTCATCACTAAATTTTTTTCTTCATATTTTGGCATTATAGAGATTAGGAGTATAATTTGATTTATTTTTATGGTGTGATTTACTGTATTATTTAAATGGAAAGTGGATCATGAAAAGGGGTATAAGAGAGTAGCTTATTCATAGATAACAATTCTTATTCTAACTACAGAGCAGTATCATTTATTGTATCCTTTTCTAAAAACCTCCATCCATTTCGATCCACATGAGCTGTTCACATTTCCATCTTGCAGTCACCATTTGGGAGACCTTAGGCACTGCAGGCACCATAAATGAATGCTAAAATTTATAGGAGAAAGTCTGATGAGATACCAGTCATTTACTCAGTCTTGAAATCTTCTCTACAAAGCGCTTATGAGTTACAAAGAGAAAAACAGCCATGTCACACTGGGAAATACACCAGTTACAACCATAACCAAGTGATCAGAAGTCACTTGCTCAGAATTGAGACATGGCCATCATCTGCCTTCTAGCAAGATACACCAAAAAGGGCACAGCATTACTTTTGTTATGCTTGCCAAAATGTAGAGCCCGAATTTAATCACTGGGAAGCCTTAGGCAAACCCAGATTGTGGGATACTCTACAAAGGAAGTGGCCAGTACTCTCCATGAGACAAACTGTTCTGGACTGGGGGAGGCGTGACAGCTACAGGCGGTGCATGGTCCTGAACCAGAAAAAGGATGTGGATAGGGGCAGCTGGCAAAGTTCAGATAAAGTTGACTGTAAATTTTTAATAAATAGTGTGTTGATGGTTAATTTCCAGGCTTGGTCATTGTTGTAATTGGTTATGTAAGGCATCGTTTGGGGAAGCTTGGTGAAGGGTGTCCAGGAATTGTTTGCACTGTTTTTGGAACTTTTTTTTTTTTTATGTCTGAAAGCATTTCAAAATGAAGTTAAGCAATAACAACAGGAAAAATAATTCAGCACAGCTGAGGCGTTAAGACTGTAATACAGCTGCTTTGCAACATCTCTTTTGATTGGTCAGGAGCTGGGTTTCTTTGCTTCCTGAATCTGCACAGTGATCTGGATAGCTGAGGTTTCTCAATAAGAAATCTTGGGTTCAGTGATACATGGCTGTATTGAATCACAAATACACTCTGACAGGGTTTTGTTTAATTAATTAATGAACTTATTTATTTGTAGAGGTATAATTACATCTTTGAGTGTCCCATGGCTATACAGGTCATTTGAGCTTTACCGTGGTAGCTATCAGCATCCCTACCTGGGAATTTAAACTCTGTAATTAATGTCCTGGTTTGTTTCTGTTTCTTTTATGCTGATCTGAATTCATATTAGTCCCATAGATTCTTCTGTAATGTGTCATACATTGTTGAATTTCACATTTGTCTATTATCGGTTAGGAGCTTATTACTGTATAAAATATGAAAACTTGAAATATATAAATATCTTCTTTAAATTAGAAGACGATCTGGAGTTTTCATACACAGTACATGGTGAATATAAACGTACAACAGCCAACATGCCTGTACTGGGTACAGTGTGTATTGGGTAATAATTAGAATGGAGGAAATTAATACATTGAGAAATGTTTGTTAGCAGGAGCAGTTGTTAACGTGTGACTCATGGGTCCTTAAGTCCATGACCAGCGTGGGAGGGGGAAGGATCGGAGAGCGGGGAGTCTAAAGACCTTATTTTGCATCTCAGGTTGATGCCTGGTTGTTAGCGTGTTACATGGTATTTAGTTTTTCTGAGCTGTGGGTTTTATTTGTAAAACTAAAATCACAATAGCATCTTGCAGAGCTATTGTGAGACTTGAATGAGGCAGTGTCCCTTGCACTTGTCCTGCTGTGGTCATTTCACACTTCCTGCTTCTCTTCTTACCTGAAGCTGGGCTTTTGACTAAGCTGCCCACAGCCGAGGAGAATCTGCTTTGCTTATGAAGATGTATAAAAAGATGGTAGCATATGTTAGTAATATCTACCCAGATCGCGAGTCTTTTTATCAGGAAGTTTTACATGTCTCTTATTGCAGAGAAATTATTTTCTTTTATGAATCAGCCACATAGGATGTTAATCCCAAATCTGTCAGGCATGTGTCACTCGTGTGCTAACTTTCTGTGATTTTTCATGTTCTTACCTGAAATCACTTGGTACAGATAAATGTTAATTAATTTAAAAGTGTTTTTTGCCATACCGAGAATCAAACTCAGGACCTTCAACTTTCCTGGCAGGCATGGTGCCTCTCTACATCCCCGACGACCGAAATGTAAATTTCTTGTTTATGCAATGAAGGGATTAGAAGCTGTATAGACGATTGGAAGGCAACACTTGCATGTACAGTTTGCTTTAAAGTTTCAGGCTGTAGTTGGGGCATTTTGGTTCTCTGAGAAACATCAGTTATTGTTCCTATTTGATTCCAGTATCAAAAATGCTTTCCTTTATTCTTGTCTGATTTTGATATTATCCTATGATTGTGGAAGTGAGCATTATTATTTTTAGGAATTAAACACTGAAATGTTTAGGGTAGAAGGGGCATTTCTGTAACTTCCAAGTGGTTCAGAAAGTACAATATGTGTCATATGTGTTTTATTTTTATAGAGGGGAAGGAGGGGACAATTAAAGTACATGTGGCAACATGAACAGTTGGTGAAGAGTCTGTGGGAGTCCTTTGTACTTTTCTCACACCTTTTTTCTTTTTGAAACATTTTATATTTTTATTAATACATGTTTGTGTACGTAGTGATTGCATTTATCATGGGGAATTGGTACATGTACATAACGCATCTCAGTTCTTCTTTTTCTCCCTTCCCTTCCACCTCCTCCCCGTTTTATTGCCAGCATCAGATTCATTTGTAAGTCCTTATAAAGTTAACTATTATTATATATACAGATCTGTAACACCCAGACACAACTTCTTTCTAATTTTGAGATTATCTAGAACTACTCTGGGCTGCACAAAGCTGTGTTCCTGTACTTGGGAGGAGGAAGCGAGTGGCAGTTTCAGAGGGAAGATGGGGAGGAGGGTGGAAGGCTCAGGTAAGTACAGAGCTGTGAGTAATGAGTAATTCAGTAAGCAGTCAGTCACTAGAAGGAATGCGTTGTCTCTTTAGCCTTTTTCCTTAGGCAGAACAGAATTTTTTTAATAGAAGCGTCTGTACAGATAAGGCTGATAAGCAGAGAAAACTTGAAGTGAAATCAGATGTAGGAAGTAAAGGTTTTTAAACCAAGTAATTATAAGCCATAGATAAGGACAAAAAAATACAAGGCGGAAATATAGGGATTTTGAAATTATCCAGTGTTCAGAGAATCTTTCTTCTATGGGAGAGACACAAGTTAGTTTTTAAAATGAGCACCTTACCCTAATAGCTAATTGACATTAATTTGCCTTTCAGTTACTATTTGGTTTCACAGGTAATATTTTGTTTCCTTATTGTAATTTTACATCATGTTTATTGTCTTTTTACCTTTCAAAAAGGGTTTTCTAAAGTATTTTTAAACTTTATTTTCTTTCATATCCATGGCGACATCTCTTTTGGGAACGCAGAGGCCAGGCGAAGGTAAGCAGTTTGGTTCATTAGATGGCACTTGTGAAGGTCTTCTGTTGTGCAAGCTTGAAGTACTGGAAGGTTTTCCCTCAAAACTGAAAACAGTTTCTGTCTGCTCGCTTATAAAAGTCATGCAAGCTTCCGGCCTTCCCTCAGACTCGAAGCTGCTGATTGTCATAGGAGGGGCCAGGGGTTTAGGGGAGCTGTTTGCACTCTGCCCAGTTCTGCCCGGTCTCCTAGCAACTGCAACAGATTCCTTGTGTGCCATAGTTTGGTGCAAAACTGGTAGTTCCAAAGTGTGGTCACACCGTGGCCGGCTGACTCATCCTCCTGGCTCCCGGGACAGCTGGGAAGGCAGTGCCAGGCCCTCAGAAACCTGTGGTGCCCCAGCTTGGATTTGAGCCCCTATCCTAAGGCAACTTCTGAGGGGTGGGGAGCAGTTCCCTGACTGCCAGGGGGCGGATGAGTGTGCTGATGCAGGCACAAGGGCTGTTTTTCAATTGACCGTTCTCTGAAGTTACTTGGAACTTCCAGGAAATTCAGTTTTATCTAAATGTTTGAGTTTTGTTTTGTTTTAGAGGCCGTGGTTGAATTGTAATTCTCTTCTCTGTTGTTATTACTAAAATATAGATAGACCTGTTCTTTGAAACTTTGGATATAGGAGAAGTCTGGTGTGAGGAAGTAATCGCTTGAGCTAAAGCCGACCCTGAAACTCTGAATGACTTAAAAGATAGTTGAATATGCCACTGATTTCTTTATATTTGTAAAATTTCCCTCATCTTTCCCAAGTAGAAGGTGCTTTGTTATTTTTGTTTTATTTTTTGTTGGAGCAGAAGCTGGAGATTGGAGCAAAAGAGAACTATTTCATGACTATGTAAAAACTGTCTGTGCTGTATTAATTCAAGTATCTCTGTGTTTAGGGAGAATATGAGGGCGAAAATGATGGAGAAGCCACAGCCCCAAAACAATGGTTACCTCTAGGGAGAGATGTACTTGGCAGATGAGGCGGTCTTGATAATTTACTTAATGCATACTTGCGTTTCTTACTGTGAATGTGTATTTAGTCTGTTACTTGAAAAAAGTTGTTTTTTTCAAAAATATTTAGAAAGAAAAAGGCTTGTCCGCTTTATGAAGTCTTTGGCTGGAAGAGCCCTATAATAATATACAAAATTTATCAAATTTAAAGAGGACTGTTTAGTGTCATTAATAAATGAGACCCAAGTGTTACTTAGCTCCCAGCTTTGTGCCCAGCTGTTGTGGTCCCTTCCTACCAAGGGGTTGTCACCTGCCTGTGGTTTCAGTTATTAGAGGCGAGCTTCATCGGATTTCAGTAGATATTTTGAGAGGAAGAAACCACATACACATAGCTTTAATTATTGCAGTATATTGTCACAGCTGTTCTATTTTGTTTTGGATTGTTAATCTCGTATTGTGCCTACTTTGTAGGTTAAACTTTACTTTAGGTTTCTATGGATAGGAAAAAGACAGTATCTGTAAGGTTCAGTACTATCCATGCTTTTAAGTGGTTTTAAGATTCTTGGATTTAGAGCATATTCTCTATGGGAAGGGGACTACTATGATTCAAGAGCAGAGCCTGTCTGGCCTGGTGTACAGCTGGACAGTCGGCCCAACAGCAGGTTCGCGTCCAGCTACCTGACCAGCTGGCTGTCAGCTTCCGCTCCTTTGTGCCTGTTTCTGTTGAACAGGGCCTACATGTGGTCTCAGGTATTGCTCTGGTTACCTTAGTGATAGCTTTTCTATTGGACTTGTAAGAAATCTGGTGGTTAAATTCTCAACCAGAAGACGAGGAAAAACCTGATAATATGGAGAGGAGAGTGCCTTGCAGACCTGATTTCTGATAAGTTTACACATGTGGCACAAGGACTGGAGTTTGATGTCCATAACAAACAAAACAAAAACAAACAAACGAAAAAAGATACCATTAGTGAAGCAAAACTTTTAAAAGATTGCAAAAGAACCATGTACAAATTTTATTTTTTATTTTTATTTTTTGGAACCGGGGATCGAATGTGGGTCCTTGCGCTTGCAAGGCAGGTGGTGGAACCACTGAGCTAAATCCCTGGCCCACCATGCACATATTTTAGAAAGTGATGCTGAGGCAGAAGATCAAGATAGGTATCATCTATTTTTGTCCCCTAAGTAACCTTTTTAATGTAGGTTCTTCCACTTTTTAGTCAGACTATGTACATTTTGTCTTTCATGTAGATTTTAGTACAAATGTGGAGTCATATTCCAGATGTACATAATTTGGTCATTAACATGATCATTTTCTTGTCACTGAGTCTTCTAGATTCTTAAAATCTATACAGTGTTGAATTTGGTGTGTTATTTATTTTTAAAATCTGATATCGTTATCTTCTACATGCGGTTTTAAACCTCTTAAATTTTATGATAGAATCATTATTTTCCTTGATCATAAAAATAAAAATATAGAAAATTTACAAAAGCATAAGAAAACAAGGACCACTGATATCATTATAAACTTTATATTAAATTAAAATAAACTTTATATTAATAACTATGTGTATAATAGCCATTGCATTATGCATATTGTTTTGTAAATTTTCCACTTAACTTTACAAATAGTTTTCTGTGTGAAATAGAAATCTGTATCACTCATAGGGTGCTTAGTAGTTATAATTCTTGTGCAAAAATAGCTAGTCCCTGTTATGTGACAGTAAGTTGTTTTAACTACATGTTATGAGTGATTCTATCAAGAGTTATTAACACTGTTATGTTCACTTTTCACAGGTGTTTGCTTACGATCATTGTTTCTGGTCCATGGACGAGTCTGTCCGAGAAAAGTATGCAGGTAACAGCACGGGGTCCTATCAGTGACACTATTGGTGGTACAGAGAAGATGGTTTGGTGTATTCTTCATACGCTATTAGGGTTTAATTGCATATGACTTTAGAAACCTACAGAAATCTTGGTATGAGTGAATAAAATTAGGTGACTATGGTGCCCAGTGGAGCTGGTCTCACACACGTCTCCAGGTCTCACGTAGACCAGCAGCACATGGGAGGCCCTGAGTTTCCCTGAGTTTCCCTGAGGTTCCCTGAGGTGCTAGCAGTGTGGTCTGGAGAAGGCTGCTGGTGGAAGGAAGAAGTGCAGTGGCCAGGAGAGAAGGAATCCTAGACAGCCTGGCTTTTGCTCCTCAGCACTCCTTTGACGTCCAGGAAATTGCTGCACCTGGCAGAGCCACTGTTTTCTCTCTGTAATGGAGTGGGACAGACCATCTTCTCTCCAGATGTTGTCTGTGCTCTGGAAGTCTGTCCAGTCACTGTCGTCAACTCTAACTACTTCAAGCCCCATTTCACGGAGTCAGGACTACACTGATAGGCTTTTATTTCCTTATGCTTATGTCATTTGTTTCTAAGCAATTCTGTTTTTTCTGTCTGCCTGTCTTTCTTTTTTTGTGAGGCCAGGTTTCACTGTCTGGCTCAGGTTGGGTTTGAACTCCTAGGCTTAAGTGATTCTCTCACCTCAGCCTCCCAAGTAGCTAGAACTACAGGCATGCACCGCCACACCTGGACTGCCTTTTAAATATTGAGCATCATATTTTCTTGACTTCTATTATGAGAGAGATTAATACTATGGCTGTTTGATAAAGGGATTGCCTGAGTGGTATGTAGCTAAATCTAGGCACACCTAGGTCCCAAATATAGTTTTGCTATTTATAATCACGCTGTATACAATAAGCAGCCCATGGGCTCTTTGCATTGCGGGCACTTCTTGGTCGGTGTTTGTTATTCAACTATGTGTCCAAGTGTGCATTAAAGGGACACTTTACTGATTTTTTTTCCTCATGTGCTAAATAGAAATAACTTGAAGGTTACATCAGCCTTTAGAAGTATTTATTAAATTTAAAAATCATGTTTGGAGATAAATAAGCTGGTTATACATTTTGAGATTTTTGTTATTTGATTGGTTTGAATTGTTCATTCATGGTTTTGCCTTAAAACATCCTTTCGAAATGTCAGGTCAAGATGATGTTTTCAAGTGCCTTGGGGAGAATATCCTTCAGAATGCTTTTGATGGCTACAATGCGTGCATCTTTGCCTACGGACAAACAGGTAATGTTAAATACTGTGGATGCACATGAGCAAATATCTTTTCATGAAAGAGAAAACAGAACCATGATTACTGAGTAACATTGCTGGTTTATTATTTACCTTTTCAAGAAGTACTATAGATGATGAAATTAGGCCATAAAGATTTTTTTAAATGAGTGTAATAAAATTAGGATCAGGGTCCTGTTTCGTTACTGATCTTCTCACACAGCACTCGTTGTGTCACATTTTTTTTGCTACATTACAGAGCTGTGACTTGAATGTGTGGCTAGTTATGCCTGTGTGTCATAGTCTCTAAGAAGCTTAACAGAAGAAATGCCAACAAGAATAACTTGGTAATATCTTACTGGTTGTGATTGATAGCCTTTTGGTTCGGGAAAGAAAATCTACTTAAAGTGAATTAGCTACTTTTTTTTTTTTTGGTACTGGGGATTGAACTCGGGTCCTTGCGCTTGCAAGGCAGGTGGCATGAACTACTTTTATAAGAGTGTATCATATGTTCAACTGCAAACTGCTCTTCGCAGAACAATGCTTTTGATGGTTTAAGAAGCGTTATATATAGTGGTTAAAAGAACAGAAACCCCAGAGCCAGACCATGCCAGCTCCACTGCTGCCCCTACAACTTCCTGCCAGAGCTCTCTGCCCTCAGTTTCCTCCTCTGTAAAATTTGCGTACTGTTAGGCCCTTGTTGCAAGGTTGTCTACACAAATCACTTGTGCACACTTTCCAGCCTGGAACATAGGAAATGGTGCATTAGTACTGTGATGTTGATGAAGCATCGGGTGACAACTTGTGTGGTGAAAAGCATATTTGCAAAAATACTTCTATTTAAAAAGGAAAGTATTACACTTGTGTCAACATTACTGCTTTTAGATGATAAGATTATAGTAATTTAATTTTTTTCCTGTTTTCCTGAATTTTCTTTAATATGTATTTCTATTATAATGGAGGAAATAATTTTATATTACAAAGAGATTATTCATGGTTCACACACACACTGTTGTAAGATGGTAGCGAGTTGATTTGCTCTGGGGCCCATAGGGAGAACCTGTATATTTTGTGCTATGATTAGTCTTTGGTAACAGACACAATAGTATTAATAATATAGATCTTTTCAGTTTATTTTAGAAACTTTTCAAATCTACTTTTCAGTTCTAAATTTTTTTTTAATAAGGTTAAAGGGTTTTTTTTTTTCTTTCTAAAATATGTTTACTTTTGACTTTTACATTTGCAATGGAAAGCTTCTGTATTTTTCTTCTCATATTTGGAACATTTCTTAGTGTAATTTGGGCATTTTGCTAAGTGCTAGCAATTTAAGCAACAGAAAGAGGATTATGTATGTAAATTTCTGAGAGAGACAGTAATAACTCTGATTTCCATTTTTTAGGGTCTGGAAAATCTTACACTATGATGGGCACAGCTGATCAACCTGGATTAATCCCAAGACTCTGCAGTGGACTCTTTGAACGAACCCAAAAAGAGGAAAATGAAGAGCAGAGTTTTAAAGTAGAAGTGTCCTACATGGAAATTTATAATGAAAAAGTTCGAGACCTTCTTGATCCCAAAGGGTAAAAAGACTGAGGTTTACTGTTTTAGCTTTCTGGGGTAATGCAAATGTAATGAATTGGCATAAGTGCATTTTTCACACTCAACTCCAATAGAGAACCGTCTGGTTGTGGTCTTTGTGATTTATTTTTGGTTGCATGGCGTGGCTTCCTGTGACCTAGAGAGAGGCGTTTAGAGTAGGGAAGAGGAGTGAGCAGGCTTGTGCTTGTACTGTGCTGCCCTTCACTGATGCGCCCAAAGCCACAGACAGAAATAGGTATGGAGAAGAAGTCATTTAGCATCAGCATAGCTGGCAGTAAATTAAACAATTTGTTTTCCCTTTTACCAATAAATTTCAGGTGGAATTCAGCATTTGGTTTGCAGGATGTGAATTGCGAGAAGGCGTAATCAAGCTAGGAAACCTGATCTTTAGGATAGTTCATTTTAAAGCTTTTCAGAAAAGAAGAGTTGCCCATAGTTTTTTGGCATCAACTGTGAAGGAGAAGTGGCTCAAAGTGTTGGCTAGAACCAGTGCTCTGACCCTGCAGCGTAACTAAACTTAACAAGGACAGCAGGAGGTGTCTGAGGAAAGCTGTTCAAAGTGCCCAAGTTAGATTTTACAGAAGTGGAGAGAGGAGTCAGAGATGATGACCACAGTCCCCGGCTGCCTTTTTTTTTTTTTTTTTAGAAGAACATGAGAGCGGCGGCTTTTCATTTTTAAAATGTTTGGAAATGTGTACAACTTTGATACAGTTTCAGGGTGCTCCGGACACCCATATCCACTTCATGTGAGCAGCTGTCAATTTCTAGAGCATTTTGAGAGACTACAGGATGGCTGTGATCAAATTTTGTAATTAAACCTAATGAGGGCAATAGACACATCCAGAATAAGAGACCTGGCAGTCACAGTGCTCCCTGCCCTAATATATTCACAAGGAGACAGATAAATAGTTTTACTCGTCCTCTGCCACCTCTTTTCCTCCTAATTTTGTCCATCTTCTCTGCCACTGTTTGAGGACAATGTTAGCAGGACCCTCTGTGCCGGCAAACTTTCCTTTAGACTTGTACTCAGTAGTGTCCTTCTCCTACTTGCGCCTCACCTCAGTGATGCATGGCTGGTTTGCATGGTTCATTGTCACTTAAGTTATTCCACATCTCACTCAGCTTCTTGCCATGTCTCCAGTGGAGCTGCTGCTCTTCTTAGATTTGCTCTTAGGTGGAATTCTGGACAAAACCTGAAGAATCCAGACAGTGGCCTTTAGGGCCATTAGAGCCTTGTCTCTTGCTTCCCTTAACTGGTCCACATCCTGTGTTTCTAGATCATAGTGTACTTCACCTGCTTTGCCATTTCATCAAATTTAGGTTTCTCTCCCAGATACTGCCTTCCATCTCTTAGAGCCCTTCTTGGAAAATTCTGCAAAACGGACCTCTGGTTTTTCTTATGTTTCCTGCATGTCTGCACAAAGAAAGCATAAGCAGACATCTTGCCCTTTGGTTTCTTGGGGTTACCTTCCCCATCCTGACTGTATTGTTTGCTGTCTGGGCAGCGCAGGGTGGGGTGCACGGCTCAGCACTCCCCAGCCTCACGCTGACCACCTCCATAAGAGATGCCACTGCCCACAGTGTCCTGGCTTCTGGTGTGACCACAGCATTGGGAAGATCAGAGAGCCAGCTGGGCTGAGGCAAAGCACAGCAGGCACAGAAGGGAGAGGTCATTTGGTTGTGATTTTGATGATGCTCAGGGAAAGACAGGCTCAGCTGTGAATCTCGATGATGCTTAGTCAAGAGAAAGCAAGCTCAGCTCCTCACCGCCATCTGCTTTCTTCGACAGAGATAATGATCACAGGCCTTCCTGGGAGACTGAGTTGGCACTTTGTGTTTCTGTACACACTTCACCTGAGGAGGAACTGAAGGTGTGAACAGAGCAGGTTACAGCACAGTGCACCCTGTTGTGCCTTTGCGCAGAGTAAAAGGGATGACGCCACACGAGTCCATGGTGGAGTTTTTCCACTGAGTAGGAGTTCATCCAGTTAGAAGTGAGGTGATAGCCATTCATACAGGTGTTAAGAGATCACCTGTTTGAGGATGTCCAGCTGTACGGCGTGGTTGAGGGTGGTGTGGGCGGAGTGAGACGGGACAGAAGGTGGTTAGAGGTGAGAGGTTCCGGCCCAGGTGCCCACACTGTGCTGTACGGTGCGCTGCTGTGCACATTTTCTTCTGCCTTGACTATTCTTCCTGCACCTTCACCCTGTAAGATGATTACTTCCTCTGAGATCAGTTTAGACCCACTCTTTCTAGAAATTTTCAGCAGAGTGTCTTCGTGCTGCTCATTCTGGGGTTTGCATTCCACAGTGCTATGTAGAGTGGCCTGAACTTTACTAGCCAGACTTGTTCGTAGTCTGTAGTGATTTCTCATGCTTCCGGTATGTCGCATGGGTCTGTGCTCACATAGCTCTGGTCCTCTCCTTGGTACTGTGGAGGAATATCTTTCATTCTCAGCGCCTGGCTTTTACAGGAAGTGATGCTGTCCCCGCATGCCAGAGGAGAGAGATGACAGGCTGAATGATGCACTCGGGGTCTCAGGCCGCTTCCTGGCACACAGTCAGCACTCTCCGTGTGGGTGCTGCTGTTATGTCTCCCCTGAAAGTTTCTTTGTGTTTTCTGTATTTTTTTTTGTTAGCTTTTCTGAAGTCAAAGTAAATGGATTTAAAAAAGTAAAAGCTTTAAAGGTGTTCCCATTTCAACTAAACACTAAGAGAACGTCTTAGTACTCACTTTATTAGTTCAGCCTCCATTGTAATGTAATTAAGTTTCTTTACTCAGGACACAATATATCTTTAAGAATAAAGGGAAAAAATAAAAGGAAAAAAGTTAGTAATAGAATATATCCTGCAGTGAGAATCAAATCAAATTTTGTTTTATATCTACTTCCTCTACAGTCATGTAAGTGATTATCTGACTTCATCTATACTAGTCTACTAATAAGTGACATTATTAATTGATCTCCGGGCACTAGAACATTTCAAATCCTTAGAAAATATTAAATTATAGTCATCATACTAGAAGATAATAACATTTTAGATCTGAGTCATTTCCTCATTCTGTAACTGTGCTGCCTGCCTACATACCGGGTTTGTCGATAACTATTCACTATGTCCTGTCAGTGCTTCTGCTTGCTTGCTTTGTATCATGGGTAACAGTTTTGTACTGGTTGTTCAAGGTATATATTCTTCAAACCTTTCTCCCCTTTCTCCTCTTGTCTTACTTTGTGTGTGTGTGGTCCCGGGGATTGAACTCTGGACATTGTGCTTGCAAGGCAGGTGGTGGAGCCACTGAGCTAAATCCCCAGCCCTCCTCCTGTCTTACTTTGTTACTAGCATTCTATGTCCAGATCATGTACGCCAACACACTGGAGTCTTCTTTGTCACCTTTTCTTATTTTCACTTTTAAGCCAAGTTTATTAAGCCAAGCCTGATTGACTCCTATGTGCCAGGAGCTGTGCTGGGAACTGCAGACCCCCAAACTAGCAAGACATTATTCTTTTCTTCTGGAGTCCAAGGGCACTAAAGAATGGATATACGTAAACTAACACCACAAGTATCAGGAGAATTAGGAGCAGATTATAAAGGAGCATACATATGAAGCCCAGGGATGGGGACTTGATTTCTCACACATTGCAGAACCACCACAGAATTTTAAGCATTCTGATTCATTACTTATTTTTAAAAGGCAATATTCTGTAGTCAAATACATATTCATGGTAGAAAGGGTGGATGACCAAAAGATCATAAAGTGGGAATCATGCGCCGGGTGTGGTGGCGCACGCCTGTAATCCCAGCACTCGGGAGGCTGAGGCAGGAGGATTGCTGTGAGTTCAAGACCAGCCTGGGCTACATAGTGAGTTCCAGGTCAGTCTCAACTACAAAGTGAGACCCTGTCTCAAAAAAAAACCAAAAAAAACAAAACAAAATAAAGTGGGAATCACCTGAAATCTCACTATCCCGAATTTTTTTAAATTTTAATTTTAATTGAAAAAAAAAATGCCTCTATTTGTGAGGCACAGTGTGATGTTTTGATCTACATGCCATTGTCGACTGGCTAAGGCAGTCGACATGTCCATCGCCTTCCGTAGCTGACATTTTGTACCCCTGAAGCTTTGTACCCTTCAGCAAACATCTCAACAAATACTTAATATTTTTTGGCTTATAGCATTAAATGTACAATAAAGTCTAGGTTTTTGGCAAATGCTCTTCACTGGGGTTATTGATTCCTTTTTTCTAAGAGTTTTATTTTTTAAAAAATTGTAAATTAATGTTCATTTTATTGAATCCATTTTCATTCATTTATTGAAATGGCCACACTTTATCCCCTTCTTTTAGTTCATCAGCGTGATAAGTCTGTGGATTTTCACCCCCAAGGTTAGAACAACCTTGCAACCCTGGGATAAGCCCAGTGTTGTGTTTTTAAAACATTATTAGATTCATTTTTCTGTCTTTGTTTCTTTGTCTTTATTTGTGATTGAGCTGGGTCTGTAATTTTCCTTTCTTGCACAGTTAACATTTATTGAATTTTCATCTTTGTGTCACATTCTGCGATATGACAAGTAGATTGTTCATATTTATTTGACTCTGAATTCTTTATGGTAGTAAATAGACATCCCACAGTTTACCCTTTTGAGTGATGTGATATTTTACCACATTATGGAGTTTTTCTTTCCCGTGAAGTTTTGAAAGTTTGGTTTAAATTCTTCAGGGATCAAGTCAGTTGATTTTATTTATTTGGGGTCTTTTTTGAATTAAATATACATTTCCATGAAGCACAATTGAATCCTTTAAAAACAAATCATTGTTAACAAATTGTTTTCTTTGTTTCTCATGAACAGAAGCCGCCAGACATTGAAAGTCAGAGAGCATAGTGTGTTGGGACCCTATGTGGATGGACTTTCTAAATTGGCTGTTACAAGCTACAAGGTAACAATGTCTTTTCTGTGAACTAACTTTTGTGCAATTTTTTGTTTGATTTTTAAAAAAGAAAATTAAATTTATAATAGCATCAGTAAATCACTGTTTACAAAGAAATCTTTAAAATCAGGCAGAGAGTATAAGACCAGTGAGTTAGTGGGCTAAATGCGATGAAGCTTATAGATTAAGCTTCAGTATTGTCAGACTTCATGGATCGAAAATTGATAGAATAGATCTAGGAAGCTGTGAATTTCATCTCTTGTTACTTTTCTGTTGTGGTTCTTTTTCACTTCTTTTTCTTTTTTCAGTTAATTTTTTTGAAGCCTTTAATTTATCATGTTGAATTTTCCTTAAACGCTTATTCTTTTTCACTTAGAAGCTTGTGATTTTCAAAGTTTTTCACATATGTGTATCATTTTGGGATTATGGTCAGCTGCATATAACATAAAAATATAATAGGATTAAGAGTTTTGAAGTATGAATATTATCTGTTCATTGTGTATCTTCCATGTCTACAAAGTACTTGGAATGTGGTATACGCTTTCCACATACATTTAAGTGAATGAATAAAAGAATGGTGAGTTCAACAAGACTTTTCATGTAAGATGTCTAGAGGAAACTGCTCTAGGACTGGTGTGGTTGTTCCAGGATCTCAGTAGGGACCTAGTTTCCCTTTCCCACTCGAGAGAGAGAGAGAGAGAGAGAGAGAGAGAGAGAGAGAGGGAGGGAGGGAGGGAGACAGACGACAGTGTTCTCATACTTCAAGATGCCTCTTCTAACCAAAATGTGATCACAAACCTACTCCCTTTAAGGAAAAAGGTCCAGGTGATCTGCATTGTACCATGTGCTAAAATTCAGTCATGTGGCCAAGCTTGTAGTGCAGGGGCATCTGGGAAATGTAGTGTCTTAGCTCTGCCACAGTATGCAAGGTCAAAGATAGGGTGCTGTTATGGGGAAGAAAAACTGGATCATAGTAGGCTTCTACACATCCTTTCATATGTAACCATTTTTCTTGTTCATCCTGAAAATTCTTATATGGTAGATTATTTTATTTACTTATTTATTTGTGTGGTTCTGGGGATTTAACCCAGGGCCTTGCACATGTTAAGCAAGCACTGTATCACTGAGCTACATCCAGAGTCCAGGTAGATGATTTTATAGCTTCCTGTTGTTAGTAATGAAACTAAAATTCACATTTGGTTAAATAACCATTTTTAGAGCTTTTTTAAAATGAAAATTCCATGATCTGTTATATAATGGTGTCTGTTTTTTAAAAACTGTAGTAACAACCAAGTAGCAAATTTGTACAGAAAATTAGTCTCTTGATGTTTTCATTTTTAAGCACAGGTCTGCCTAAGGTATGGTGGCAGGTAGTAATATGCTTGGGTGAGGGATTACAGGTTATTTTTTTTTTTCTTATTTTTGTATTCTGATTTTTTTTGTTTTTGTTTTCAGTTTTTGAGACAGGGTCTCACTATGTAGTTGAGACTGACCTGGAACTCATTATGTATCCCAGGCTGATCTCAAACTCACCGCGATCCTCCTGCCTCAGCCTCCTGAGTGTTTGGATTACAGGCATGCGCCGCCACGCTCGGCAGTCTGATCTGTTTTTAACAATAAACTGGTAGTGCTCTTATAGTTAAAGAAACTAAGATTTTTCAAATTTCTGAAGTAGATGAGTATTGGCATGGAGTATTTGTCCTTATGTGCTCAATAATGTAGCTTCTAAACTTTCCTGAGTCAAAGCTTCCATTTGCTTCTATACCTACAGAAGATAATACCTGAGTTTAGTGGTAGAGACAGTGTCAATTCTTGTATTCTGTGAGGTTTAATTTCATTGAAAAATAATATATTAACTGCAAATGTTGGCTAAGTAGTAAAAGTTGTAACATATTTCACAGTACAGCTGAGTTGTAATGTTTATTACACAGATAATGAGATGTGTGTCTATGACTTGTTTCCACTTAGGATATTGAGTCTTTGATGTCTGAGGGTAACAAATCCCGGACAGTTGCAGCAACCAACATGAACGAGGAGAGTAGCCGATCCCACGCAGTCTTCAAAATCACCCTCATGCACACGCTGTACGATGTAAAGTCTGGGGTAGGTGTGCACACGCATGACCTCTCTGCATTTCTGAAGCAGTCATGGTTTATGTTGTTCTCATGAGATGTCAGATGAATTCAGATCACAGCCAGACTTACTATCAGTTAGGACTCTAGACAGTGTGACTGGGTAATGTAGAATATCAGTTGACTAGGGTGTTGTTGGGACACCTGAGGAGGAGCAGGTTCTAGAGACGGTCTCTAGGGATGATTCCTTGAACTGCTCAGATCAGGTCTCAGAATGGTGCCATCTATGAGAACATCCTAGAGCTGTGAGTTCAAGGTGCACCCCATAATGTGGTGAACAGGAAGCAGGAATAAAGAATGCTCTGTCAGTAAACTGTTCCTTGGCACATCGGAGGCTAATGCATGTGCAGGGAAACTGCTGGGAGACCTCATCTTGCCGTGGTCCGGCCTGCCAGCACAGAAAGGCGAAAGTGTCCAGGTCTTCAGCAGAGGAGCTGATGGCAGAACTTGTGCCCTTCCCAGACCCTTCCCGCAGGGGAGGCTGCCTAGAGACGTGGGGGCTTTAGCTCCTTACCCTCACTCCCTAGAGGAAGTGGGAACTGAAGTCACGCAGCTGATGACCTGTAGTCCCCACCCCGGCAGCCTTCCTTCTGGCTTACACTCTGCCCACTGGCTGAGGGAGTGCTAAGGCTCCAGCTGATTTAGTGGAGGTTCTGCTGCTAAACAGCCGGGATTAAAAGGATAACTTGCACTGGGGAAATTGTACTCCACAATTACCGGATTGGGTAGAATAGTTTAGAAGCTGGCTGAGATTAAACTGAAGAGTCAGAGATGTCGGTGCCTGTGTCATATCGAGGACTGCTGTGCTGATGTGTACATTTCTGTTTTCTCTCTCTTCGTGGGAAGTTTTGCCTATTTTGTTAGGTTGCCCACTCCTCAGTGCATCAGTTTCAAATACCAGAAGCTGAAATAATCACCCTGGCAAAGTGCTGTATTTTGGCAGGAGTTTCATTTGCTGAAAGCCTATTTTTCTTTTTTTTAAACCATCAGCAAGATTAGTGTAACGACAAAAAGTTCTTTGTTTTCTGTTTCCTTTTCAGCATAAAACAGAAAACATACTGAAGATATTTTTTAAAGCCAAAATTACTTTTTATTTGGAAAGCTGAATATCCTTTTGTTAGTAACATGTTCATTTTATGGAAATAAATATAAATGTATATTTTAAATGAAAGTTTAAGAATCCAGTGTATAGATTTTGTCACTGGCTTTCTCCTTTATTTGTTTTGCTGAAGTATATAAAAAAATATATATGTATGTAATTTGTTAAAAATAGCACCGTGTATATAAAATATCCTAACTAAAACTAGTATAAACCTATACTTGAAATTATAAAAGGGAGTCACATATATATATGAATAAATTGAAAAACTTGAGAAAGTGTTTGAATTTTTGAGGGTTTCTTTGATTGTATAAAAGTCAGATTAATGTTTTTTACATCAGTAAGAATGCTAGTATTTTATCTCAGGATTACTGGTAAACTGAGCATGGTGGTGCATGCCTGTAATCCCAGCACTTGGGAAGCAGAGGCAGGGCAATTGCTGCAAGTTCGAGACCAGCCTGGACTGCATAGTGAGTTCAAGGCCAGCCTGAACTACAAAGCAAGACCCTATCTCCCAAAAAAAGATTACTGGAAAATACAAAAATTTAAGCATAGTTTCAAATCACATTGAAGTTCATATATGTACTTTTATAGACTTTTTGTTCTTTGCAGTACTGGATATTGAACCCAGGAAGAACTGACCTACATTCACATCCCTTTTTATTATTTTATTTTGAGACAGGGTCTCACCAAGTTTCGCAGGTTGGTCTGGAACTTCCTGTCTTCTTCCTCACCCTCCCAAGTAGTTGTGGTTACGGTATATGCTACCATGCCTGGCTTGTCTCTGAAAATACTTATTGGGGATTCTCCGAATGTCTTTATTTTGAGGCACTATTTTTCTAAGATAACTATCTGGATTAGTAGAGGACTGTTTTATCGCTGCTAGATTGTGTAGTTTTCTTACAGTGTTCTCCATACAGCAGCAAAATAATTTTGCAATAAATGCAAATTAATAAAGGGTTGAGAAATGAGCACATACATCTGTGCCGGCCTGCCTCCTGCATTGTCTGAGTGCTTATTAGTATGTATCAATTTGCTTCGCAGACATCTGGGGAGAAAGTGAGCAAACTGAGCTTGGTTGATTTAGCTGGCAGTGAACGAGCCACGAAAACTGGAGCTGCCGGTGACAGGCTGAAGGAGGGCAGCAACATTAACAAGTAAGTTTTCTGAGGCTTAATCTACTGCTTATTGAGCTGATGGCCAAATAGGGGGTATCTGTGGTTTTTAATGTAAGGTGATTCTGGACCCATTAAGGCTATGATGTATGTATTTTCCGTGGGCCTGGGCTCTTCTTATGCCCTGAAGAGCTATCTGATGTGTCTGAGGCGCACAGCCCCAATTAAGTCAGGCTTCCTCAACAATAGCCCTATTGACTTTCTGGTCTGGTGATTCTTCATCCTGGAGTGGGGGTGTCCTGCGCATTATATGTGAGCAGTTAGCGGCATCGCTGACATTTGCCCACTAGATGGCGCTAGCACTCCCCACTGCAGTTCCCCCGGGGTGTGTGGGGGGCGCTATCTTCCAGCGGAGAACCACTGGTACAAGGGTAGAAAAGGATGACATTTGGTCTCTCAGAGGCCAGCTGGTGATTGTGACCTGAGTTGCTGTCTAAGACACTGTGCCAGCCACACTGGGCTGGCCCTTTTATGAGTACCGTTGTTTGTCCATATCCAAGAAGCTGGGACTTTAAGAACTAATATTTTGTTCACCAGGTCCATTCATTTTTTTTCCCTCAAGCTTGACTGGCAATTTCCCATGGGCTTGAGCTTATTCGTCCTCAGGACTAGCACCAAGTCTAGTAGCCAGCTAGAGATTATGGGACACCTCATCCAGGTGCTGTTTTGTTACTGAGTCATACAGATGTACATTTTGGTTGTCCTAGGTTTTAATTATATTGCCTCGGGGCTTCCTTTTTGAAGACAGATGTAGTGTTTGTTTCAATATTTTGTCTTTTTTGAATTTTTCAGCTCACATTTTTATCTATAAATATGAACAAAACTCAGCTAAGCATTTCTGTTCCTTAACCTAGGGTTAGAGGGGTTAGCGGGTCTTTAGAGTTTGTGTTTTTAGACTGAGTGACAAATTGCTGAGCACAGTGCTGCTCCCATGCATGTCCAAGGGTGTTCCATCATGTGTTGAAACGTGACATTTGATATACTCCAGTTTTTGTAATATTGTGGTTTGTTGCACCATGCAGGTCCCTCACAACCCTCGGTCTGGTTATCTCAGCCTTAGCAGATCAGGGTGCTGGCAAAAACAAAAATAAATTTGTTCCATACCGTGACTCAGTTCTCACCTGGCTGCTCAAAGTAAGTTTTTTTCCTTTCTTTTCTGATATACCTTTGATGGTTGGCAAAAATGGAAGAGTAAAGAGTAAACTGTTAATTAATTTTTTCTGGTTACAACTTCCTCCTCACTGTTCAAGTTTATAATTATTAGGCTGTTATGACCATCATAATTTTTATGGACTGAGCATGCACAGGTTTGTTCCTCGTATTACCGTCTCATCTTCACGAGCCTGCATGCAAGGGGGCTGCTGGCTGCAGTGGCTCCTGGGGATTATGGGGAGGAGAAGGAACATGGGGTAGTGTGTCAGCTGAGCGAGTCACAGAAAAGGAGCACTGCCCAATACATTGCTGGGCTGCTTCCTCCATCCCACAGATGCTTGTCTTCTGTTAAATTTGCTCCTGATTATTTAATTGGCTTTCCCCTTCTTAAAGGTTTTTCTGAAGGGTATGGTGTATGCATATGTTCACTGATGCACTCATCAGCAGGCATGGGAGAGATGGAAATGAGAAAGTCACGCTCCCAGGAGAGTGGAAGGCAGTGCAGCCTCTCCTCGGCCTCAGTGGCTCATGGTCCAGGAAGGGAGATGAGCTGAACTCACAGAATATTACAGAATGAGCTGGTGACTTAACTGACAACAGAGAAGGCGCTTCCATGGAATCATGGCTCAGTAGAGGGAGACTATTTGCAGGCTTCCCCCAGCTTCCCTTAGTCTTCAAAGAGGTGGTGCAGTGAAGTGGATATCAGCTGGGTTAGGGGACAGAAGTTCTAGTGACAATTTATACAGCTGCCAGCATTGAACAAAATCTTTCACTTGTCCAGTACTCTTTTTCTGCTTTTTAAAATAGAGAAATTATTTTATGTGTCCTGTTTTGTTTTGTGATGGCTCACTTTCTCACTGATAAGAATGTACTGAACCCCTTTCGCTTACTGTGTCGGGGGTTGAGACTAAAATGAGTGAAACACGGGCCACAGAATCGAGTTGAGGGCATGGCTGTTGCCCAAGTCTCTGTCAAGGGAAGTGGATTTCTAGTATTCAGCTTCTTAATCTGAAACCCTGCACACTGTTTCCATTTATTTTGTCAGGTAAAACCTTCCTTTCATAAATATCAGGTTCTGCGTAAATGTAGTGCTAAAACTGGATAAATTTGCCGAGGTAGGAACTCAAGTAGTAAGTTACTTCCTTTGGCCGAATGCAATAAATTTAGAAATTTAACACAGATAAAATAATTTTTGATCATTAAGAACCATTTTCAAGTGGATATCACACTCATTTTGCTCCCGGAGAATGTGTCAATCGTTAACCTCGTCATCTCACTTTTTTTCCAGAAGAAGTCTTGATATTTACTGCTGCCTCAGATTATGCACAGAAACATTTCCTGGTCATACAGAACTATGCCTTTGATCTGCCTGGTTTGAAAGAGAGAATATGCATTAACCACGTTGCTGTGCTGTTGCTACTACTGTATATTGAAGACAGTAGGGACAGATAATCTTGTTAGTTTCGTTGGTGATCATTAATGGCCTAGATAGTCATTGAATGGCCACCCCCTGAGCCAGGTGCCAAGAGAACCTGGCGCCTCTTCTGTCTGGAAGGATTTCATTGACTTCTCAGGAGGAGAATGGTAGTTTTGTCATTTGTTAGATGAGCACAGAATACAACACCCACAGGTGGCAGGGTCAAGCTTAGAGTCCAGGTGAGTTCGCCGTCCACCTGTCAGGAGATCACTTGACTTTCCCGGTGTTGGATAGACAATAATGAAGAACCACTGTTTGTAATACTTTAAGAATGGAACAAAAAGCATCTGTTAAAAAGTTCATTGGATGTTTTTCCCCCAAAATTCACTTTTTCTATATAATTTAAGTTATAATTGGACTTTCTGTTTTAAGCCTCAGGTTAAAAAATAAGTCAAGTAGGCTGGGGATTTAGCTTAGTGATTCTGCCACCTGCCTTACAAGCACAAGGACCTGAGTTTGATCCCTGGTACCAAAAAAAAAAAAAAAAATTCAAGTGTTTGTTTGACTTTTGCTGTATTTATTTTCCTCAAGTTCTGCTGTGACCTTTATAAGATCATGTTTTACTTTTGCATCAAGATCATAAATAGGGGCACTTTTACAAAAGGATTTTCAGGTCCCTGTTGCCTTTTCCTTCTCTATTTCTTGGTCTAACTCTCCCTGGTCCTTATATAGATTCTCATATTCCCCAGCATAACTTCCTCTGCACTCATAACATGACTCATCTTTTATAACTTGTGGTTTTGATTACAGTTTTGCACTGTGTTTTCATAGTCATGCTCTTGATGCTTGCATCCTTCTAGGTGCCTTTCCAGTTAGTTCCCTTTATCATTCTTAACTGCCACTGCCTTAGTGGAGGCCACTCTGATCTCTTGCCTGGAGGACAAACATTTTCCTCCAGTATTCTTAGTCTGATCCATTCCCCCTAGTTAGGTTGCAAGATCTTTCTAAATTAATCCTTTTACCCTTAAATCTCTGTAGTAACTGTCCCTAGGCCCTTAGATCAAGTTCAGACTCTTTAACTGCATGTTACTCGCGAGGCCCTTCGAAGCCTGACCCTTCTTACTTCTAGTTGTTGTTCTTTCGCTTCCTGGTGGTGTAAATTCTAGAGAGGTGAAGAGTGCGGTGTGACTTCTGAGGCTTCCTTCTGGCTGGAGCATTCTTTCCCCCATCTTCAGTCCCTCCCATCTCCCCCTCCCTGCGAAGTGCTCATTCTCTGGAATGTCCCAAAGGCCATCTTCTCTGAGAACCTTCCCAGCCTCAGAGCTGGCCTTCTGTTCTTTGTTCTCCCCGATTACATTGTGTTTAGCCCATTTCAGTTCTTTTCAGAGTACTTGTCTCTTCTGTCAGTTGGTAACCGTGGTGAAGAGATGAGTCATGTCATTTCAGCTCTGCTCTGAACTGGCTTTTTGATTTTAATGTCTCCTGGTCTTCCTGGGTCTCAAGTTTTCATCTGTAAAATGAAGTAATTTGACTTGATGACTTCAGAGTTCATTCAGCCTTAAAAAATTCTGACTCCCCAAATTAAATTTTTATTCATTGTCCATTTAATTTTGCAGTTGCTACATTTGAAACAAAGCTCATCTGATTTGCCTAATTAAACAATTAAAGAATAAACAAGAAGCTTTGTACTTTCTCCCTGAATGAGTGCCAGTTCTTTTGTTGCTATTTCCTTTTTGCTAATGGCACAAGGCCGTTTTTTTAATAGAAGCATATTATTGCCCCCTGAACAAGGGCTTTCAAATATCAAGCATTTGCCATTTGCCAGGTTTCCTTTTCTCAGCATAAACTGCAGCATGACCTGCACTATTGTCCTTTGGTCGTTGCTGTTAGAAATCATCTTCACCAATTCTCGTTTGCTGTTCATGTGGGCTGGCAATTTGCAGTAGGCATTGGTACTCCTGAGGAACCGAATTTCAGCATGAGATTTAATCCGTGTGATCTTTTTCTGTCTCATCTGATTCTCATTAATATGTGCAGGGCTCTGAATGACATTTTTCTGGAAGTTGCCAAATCTGTGATGCGCATCAGGATTGTGAGATCATTGTCTAGAAGTGGAAGAATGAAAGGAGCAATTGTGGCTTTACTTCCTGAAGTCCGCATTAGTTGTATTTCCTGCTTTTTCATATATAGCAAGCTATATTTTCTGCAGTATGATTGTTTTCTTCGGAAAACTAAAATTTCAGTAACGGTTGAGTAAGCAGACATTGTCTATGGTTAGGTAGAGCTATTAGTAATACCTAGTATTTCTGACACTAGGAGTGGTATAGGGTCATCTGAATTTGTCCTCGGGTCTAAACTTTTTGTTGCCATGTGTGCATTGTGGGTAGTTGTGGAGGAGTGGAAACGGTAATGGAATTAAAGGCAGAATACAAGTGGGCTATAGATTATTACTCAGCTTACCAGTTTTGAATTTTTAGACAGGGCATTTAACTTCTTTTTCAGAACAAACCTATTCTCTCATTGACAAAGTGAGATACTAATTGATTTCACAAAAGCTAAGTAAACTATGCACAGAGATTGTGTAAATCAGATTGCTGTAGCAACTTTTACATAAATTGAAATTGGAATGACTTTGTATCTTCAAAAGTAAGAATTTTCTATAGATTAATGCTACCCAAAATAGAGTTAACTTTTCATAATCTAATGAATTACCTATTACCGGCCTCAGGCATTTTTTTCTTAATCTTTTTGTTTGTCTTGGAGACAGGTTCTTACTCTCAAGGGTGGCCTTGAAGTCACTGTGTAGCTCAGATTGACTTCCAACTTGTGGCAGTCCTCCTGCCTCAGCCTCCTGAGTGTTGGGTTTATAAGTGTGTTCCTGGCTTTTTTCTTTAAACTTGGAGAATCCATTATTCGGTGGCATTCTGTCACTTAAAGGGGGTTCTTCCTTTTCTTCCTCCTCCTCCTCCTCTTCCTCTCTCCTTTTTTTTTTGGTACTGGAGATCAAACTTGGGACCTTGCACTTGGGCAGTATATTAATGTATAAGTATTTCTCTCTATTGCTCTGTAACACATTTCTCACAAAGTTAATAGCAGGGAATAACAATCATTTATCTTGAAGTTCCTAAGTCAGCTAAGTGGTCTGGCTAAGGGTCTAGAGTGGCTGCAGTCTAATGTTAGCAGGGGCTGTGGGCATCTCAGACCCTGACCCGGCAGAAGACGTCTGCTTGCTTACACAGTTGTGGGCAGGCTCGGGTCTGCTTCCAAACCCACTGCTATGGGTGTCCTCATGGCCACCTCACCTCAAGGCCACCGTTTCCTCCAGAGGAGCGACAACACCCAACATAGAAGCCACTGCCTCATTTTAATGGAATCTCAGAGGGGAAGTGCCATGGCCTCACGGTATTCTTGTTATTAGAGGCAGCTCAGTAAGGCCTGGCCACACTAATGGCAAAGGGACAATGCGACGTTATGAGTCCTGGGAGGCAGGGACAGCTGGGGCTGTCTTACAGCTGCCTGCTACAGATGGGTCACAGACAGCCTCCGCTGTTGGTCAGGAACGGAGTGGGCTTTATGTCCCAAGTCCAGCTTTGAATTTTGAGCTATGTCTTCTTCCCAGCCTTTGGCCAGCCTGTCTCTCTCCCTCCCTTTTTGTTCTCACCCTTTATTTCATCCTTGACTAAACCCAGGGACTTGTTTATGCTGAACAAGTGCTTTACCCCAGCCTCAAATCTCAGTATTTTTTTTTCTCCTTAAGTGGAAGTAGTTTTTTTTGTTTTATTGAAAGCCAGTGCCAAAGCCTACTTCCCTGGATTTGCCAGGGAAATATATTATATATTTCTAATATAATAAAGACAAGAAATGAGTATTTTGTCATAGTGGCCTTGTCTGAACTGCGAAAGCCATTGTGTAGATGAGGTATCTCTTCAACCCCTGGACCATGGGCCGCTACCGATCTGGGGCCTGTTGGGAACCAGACTGCACAGCAGGAGACAAGTGACTGGTTTGGGATGTGGAAGCGCAGTTTCATCTGTATTTGCAGCTGTTCCCAATGCCTGGCATCATGGCCTGGGTTCTGCCTCTGGTCAGATCAGCGGGGCATTAGACTGTCACAGGAGCTGGAACCCTGCTGTGAACTACACATGCAAGGGAGTCTCAGTTGCACACTATCCACCCCCAGGCTCTGGAAAAATAGTCTTCCAGGAAACCAGTCCCTGGTACCAAAAGAGTGGGGACCACTGGGGTAGTCCACAAAACCTGGGCTAGTTTCTGCCAGATTGCTAGTAGTATGGTCAGAGGGAAGAATTGAAGTTTTTGCAGTGTGCCTTTTGCTTTGGGAGACTGTAATTGTACCTGCATCTTAAAAGCATGGCAGATTCTTAGGAGACTGTATTGACAGGTATATAGTGTGCACAGGGTCGCAGTGGTCACTCTTTGATCAGAGGTCAATAATACTGCGTTCATTGGATTTCTCTAAGGGAAGTTTTATAGGCATTTAGAAGTTCTTTTCTTTCTGAGTAGTCTGCTCAGTGTCAAGCTTCCTGTTAAATGGGACACTAATTAGCACTAATTAATTATCCATTTTTAATGGTACTGGGGCTTGAACCTGGGGCCTTATGCATGCTGAGCAAGTGCTCTACAAGAAAGTTATACCCTCAACTCTTTCTCTTTTTCTTTTTGAAATAGGATCTTGATAAGTTTCTCAACTAGCTTTGAACTTGCTGCCCTGCTGCCTCAGCCTCCCAAGTGGCTGGGATTATAGGGTTGTATTATACCTAGGTTAGAATTAATTTTTATTAAATTGATAAATAAATATAAGCTTCACTAGCATTTCTTGCCCTTTTTGAAAAAGGCAGAGTTCCTTTTTTCAGAAAAGTAGCTTGGTGGAGAAGAAACAGCCTGGACTGGACAGAATCGGTGTCCCTGCATGTGAGCCTGCAATTTTTCTCTGGCTGACTCAGCTTTCTCACGTGGTGTCTCCACTTTGGACCCTTACCCTCTGCACTTCTCTCCCTCCCGGCAGGACAGTCTGGGAGGTAACAGCAAGACAGCCATGGTGGCTACAGTGAGCCCCGCAGCTGACAACTATGACGAAACTCTCTCCACTCTGCGCTATGCAGATCGAGCCAAGCACATCGTCAACCACGCCGTGGTGAATGAGGATCCCAATGCCCGGATCATCCGGGATCTCCGCGAGGAGGTGGAGAAGCTCCGAGAGCAGCTGACCAAGGCTGAGGTACGAGGCCTGCGCAGCCTGCAAAGCTGGGGTTTGAATTGTCTTCCCCTTGGCCTCAAGTGAGGAAAATGCTCCTGAGAATCTTTGAATTTCCCATGGGAAGAGAAATTTGAGCTGAGTATTAAATAAAAGATTGTCATTTTTGAAATTTAAAGAGATTTGGAAAGATTAAAAATGATTATACAAGAGAATAAAGGAAATTGAGAAAATGTTCTTTTCCATTCCCATCTGGGCAGCAGACGTGAGAAAGGGCATAATGGAACGGGGAGGAAGAGGTGTGTGAAAGAAAGCGTACATCACTTACTTGTGTAGAAAATGAGATTGGACATGGAGTAATTGAGAGGAATCAAACATTTATCTTCCTCTCATTCATTAAGTAGAAGTCAGAACAGAGGTGTTCCTCACTTTAAACATGTGAACAATTATCCTTATTAGTAATTCCTTACTGTGGGCTGATTTTGTTTGTAGAACAGTAAACTATGTTATAACTGAAGCACCCAAATGCTTTATGTAGTAGCACTGTGTCACCTGTCTTCTGTATTCTAAAGTGGGTGGTGTTTATGCTCTATTACTAGATTTGAAAACCTACACACTTTCTACCCTATGGCCAAGTGCTCTTCTTCTTGTCCAAGTGGGGGAAAATGTCGATCAGGAATCCTTCTGTGGTGTTTCTGTCCCACAGCCACTTAGCACTATAGGACTTCTTCCTGGGGCTGGCACCAAAGCCCCTCTTCCTCTAACCCAGTTTTTCATTGTAAACCAGTAAAATACATAGAATAGTTACCTCAATCCTGCTTTTGCCTGTTGACTTTTATCTTTTTTTTTTTTTTCTTTGAGACAGGGTCTCACTATGAGTTGAGGCTGACTTGGAACACACTGTGTAGCTCAGGCTGGTCTCGAACTCACATTGCCTCTCCGACCTTAGCCTCCCGAGTGCTGGGATTATAGGTGTGTGCCACCATGCCCGGCTTCTTTTTTTTTTGGTACTGGGGAGCCTTGCACTTGCAAAGCAGGTGGCGGCACCACTGAGCTAAATCCCCAGTCTTTTTATTTTTTTTTGATGGAAATCATTTTACGATTTAACAAGACTCTGGAATTTTGTCTCTGTCTTCCTGGTAGTAAATTCACCAGGTTGCAACATGCACATATTTCTTCTGTATGTTCTTTAATAAATTCCTGAAGTCATCAGTAGAGACTAAAATAAGTCAAGTGTATGAACCTAGATATATAACATACTAGAATTTAGAGTAACAACCCCAATAGCTGTATGTGTTTACCTCCTTATATATAATGAGATCTATATAGTAGGATGGAGGAGAGGGAGAAGTTAAGTTTTCCTTCAGAATGTACATTGTTGAGGGCCGGGGATATAGCTCAGTGGCACCATGCCTGCCTGGCAAGTGCAAGGCCCTGAGTTCAATTCATGGTACAAAAAAAAAAAAAAAAAAAAAAAAAAGAA